CCTTAATCACTTCTAATCCTAGGTAATAGTTTTCTAAAATAACTTTGCAAGAAGTTTGAAAGGCTTTAGGGAAGGAGCTACAATTGCCTGCTTATTAGGACCATGATATAGGTAGACAGATGAGTGGGGACCTGGTGGGCCACAGTTTTCACCTCATTTTTCTGAGTATTGAAGGCCCTGATCCATACTTGCTCAAAACTGAAGGTTAAGTGCTTGACCTCAGTCTCCTCAGGGGCTGCACCTCCACAAACGTCTCCATTAACTCCTGTATCCTGGCCAAACACAACTTAGATTTCTCTGGCAAGCTCTGGTGTTGCCATTTTGGCATTTTTGCTTCTCATTGCACTTCCTCTGGCACTTTCACTGCCCTGTTAGAGTTGACCAGTTTGCAGAAGGATTGTCATCATGCTCACAGTCCAGTCTCATCCTTCACTCTGCTTATGGGATTGATGTCTATACAAGCCTACCGTGGTCCCCAAAGTGAGTAGAGCTGTGGCTAATGAAGTTACCTTACTGTAATTGAGGCAAGCCTCAGATAGGCGTCATCCTATTTTGGTAGAGGAATATTTATATTTGATACCTTCAGACAGGGAAGATTTTACTGCCTTCATGTGAGAAGAGGAATGCTATGAGCTGTTTCTGATACATTTTGCTACCCCCTCCCCTTTTTTAAAACATTTTATTTTAAAGGGTGGTGTTGTGGCTCAGTGGTAGAGCATTTGCCTAGCATGTATGAGGCACTGTGTTTGAATAAAACAAAGGTCTATTAACAACTAAAAATATTTTAGAAAATTATATTTTATCTCTTAAAAGCATAACTATACCATTTCCCTTAATCACTTTTTACTGTTTATCAAGGTATACATACACTAATGTGCAAGCTGTGTACAGCTTGATGTAATTTCACATAGATGTATACATCCTGGTGGACACATTTCCAGGATTCCAGGAAGTTTTCTCAATAATCACTCCACAGAGGAAATTGGATTTTGACTCTTATTATGCTTGATTTGGTGTGCTTTTTCTCACTTTTCAAGTATATGTTAAAACTACAACATGTACTGTGACATGTTAGACTTTGCCTCACCCCAGAAAACCAATAAAGGTTTCCACATCTTGCCTTGGTGAAACAGCCTAATTCCTCAATCAGTGCTATCCTCCTTTGGTAAAGCCCTAATTAAAGGCTTGCCTCTGTGTGCCCACAATATTGGACTTGGTCTCATTCCTGTTTCCAAGCCAGAAGATCCTGTCTCCAATAACAAAGGCAGCCCTTTGTCCACCACAGGCTGGTATTTAACTGGATCATGCCCAGTTCTCACACTTCCAAAATTGAAGCTCGTGGTAATGAAGGTGGAAAAATTAGTTCATCTTATAGGTCTCTGGTGCTGAAGAAGTTCTAAAGCCTCATCTGTAAGTATTGGCCTCACAATAGCTGTGTTGCCTGAGACTGGGTGACTGGTGATAGAAATGGACTCCAAGACTGACACTAAGCTGGGTCACATCTGAGTCTCACATCCAGAGGACAGATACAATTTTGGGGAGGCTGGTGATGATATGGGCTGAATGATGTAGTCTATCCCAGGTGGCATGCAGGTATCTGCCTGATGTTGGTTCATGTCTACAGGATCCATCTGTGAGCTTGGGCCTA